CATGCAGTGTTCCCTTGCTCTGTTCTGACGATTGCCTCCTGGTCCAAGTATAAGTTTCGCATTAGAACAATCAAGTGTTCTGGAATTCCCATTCTTCTCAGAGTCAGCCATAGTTTATATAGTCGCTTGTAAATCATAATGACTCTATGTACAATAGCCCTAAAACCTGCTCTATGCTGGGCCAACTGTACTGTCTCTGATACACCTACCCTCATTACCCCAGTCACTGAATCAATCTATTTCATCGAGGGTCTTCCTCTTTTTTTCTGTTCCTCCACCCTTCCAAGCATCATGTCCCACTTCAAGGAGTGGTCCCTCCTTGCAACATGCCCAAAGTATCTCAGATGAGAACTCAGAATCCTTGCCTCCAAGGAGCAGCCTGTTTCTGTCATCCCTAGTCTCTGTCATCCCTTAGCTCTCTGACACATAGCAAGCAATTATGAGCAATTTTGAAGTCTATGGCCTGGACCAGGCACATTTTAGTCTCCAGCCTGATGTCATTGCTCTTCAGTATTTTGGAGAAGTTTTTGACAGCCAGCTTTCCTAAGCTGTTGGTACCAAGAGTGTTGATTGTGAACCGAAGCAAACTAAAGCTAACAATCTCAAATCTCTTCACTATGTAGCATAATGTTGCCAATCAGCCCAATGGTGAGAATCTTTGTTTACTTGATATTGAGCTTTAATTAATATTGAAGGCTATAGTCCTTGACCTTCTGCAACAAGTGCTTCAGGTCCTCCTCAGTTTCAGCAAACAGGGTTGTATCATCTGCATAGCACAGGTTGTTGATGAATCTTCTCCCAATCCTGATGCCACATTTCTCCTCCTACAGCCCAGCCTCCTGCGAGATCTGTTATGCATTTAGATTGAAAAGGTATGGAGATAGAGAATACATCCCTGGTGTACACCCTTCCCAATTTTGAACCATGCAGTGTATCCTTGTTCTGTTCTGACAATTGCCTCTTGGTCCAAGTATAGGTTTTGCATAAGCAAAATCAAATATTCTGGGATGCCCATTATTGTCAGAATTAGTCACAGTTTGTTGTGACCACACAAAGAATTCATAGCCAATGAAACACAGATGTCCATCAACAGGGGATATTTTTCTGTGTAATTATGTCTTTTATTTTTCCTGCAGTAGTGTTTTGTAGTTTTCTTTACAAAGTTCTTTTGTGTCTCAAGTTATTATTTCTGTGGATGTCCATCTTGTCTGGCAGACAACATCTCTCTTGGGAATAGAGAAAGAACATGGTTAATTTCACAACTATCAATGGGTTTTTTTCTCATGACTTTTTCTAACAATCCTGAGATAAAAATCTTGTATGCTTCTTTGTTTTTATTCATGTACTTAGTGGTTTTAAATGGAAATACTCTCATTATCACTGTAACACCCATAGATCAAGGCTTCTATGCACCTATGTGTTTCCTTCTGAAGTACTTTTGTGCTTGTCTTCTGTACTATCCTGCTGTGACTGTACCAAAATTCATTTGCCACTCTTTTATGTACAGTGTCAGTATTTCCTTCTAGGAGTGTATACTGCAGTGTTTTGCATACTGCACCACACTCTGTGGTTGTGCCTAGGTGGTCATACTCACAGTGATGCCGTTTGATCACCATGTGACTATCTGCTTTCTACTGTGCTATGAAATCATTATGAATGTCAGCACATGTGTTTATAGAATCTTAAATTTGGATAAGGGGCATCATCTCTGGAGTAATGCCGGCAGTTACTTTCTCTATTCACTTCTGTAGCCCCTAAATCATTAATCCGTTCTACCTTGAGAGTATATAGAATTTTGAAAATATTAAAATAAAAAATATTCATGTGGTAGAAGACAATGCTTAAGAGACCCTGAGTTCCTATTAAGGGTGATGGAAAGAATCAGAAATGGTTCAGGGTGATGGTTAGGAGAGATGATGAGCAGAAATAATGTCATTAAGCTGTGAAGATTGTTCACATGGCAGAGGCATTTAAAAATTTTTTTAATCTGTGTATTTAACACAATAAAGAGGAAAATAAAAAGCACAGTCTCCTGAATCAAAGGAGTAAAGAACACATATATGCACATGTGTGCTCTCACAGAGAAAACTACACTGTACAGGGAAAAAAACCCCCAAACCCAAACCCAAACCCAAACCCCTGTTTGATTAAAGGTGATTTTTCCACTCTGATAGTCCATCAGCTTTGTTTTTTCTGGATTCTCACGTGACATCATCACTGAAGGCTTCTGCTCCGGTGGCAGATCTTTTGGATCCGGGTTGACAACACTTTCAGAGCTTCCTTAACATCTTTGTTGCGGAGTGTATAGATGAGAGGATTGAGAAGTGGGGTGATGACTGAGTAAAAGATGGCAACAATCTTGTTGATATTTGATTCATATTTTACAGCTGGGCGGACATACATGAATATGAGGGTGCCGAAGTAAATGGTGACTACAGAAAGGTGGGCTGTGCAGGTAGAGAAGGCCTTGCGTCGGGCAGTAGCTGAGGCCATGGCTAGGATAGTGGCGAGGATTCGTGCATAGGAAGCCATGGTAAAGACCAAGGCTCCTAGGATAATGACAGTGCTGAAAGCATATCCCACTGCTTGAATGGCATATGTGTCTGTGCAAGAAAGACGGAAAATTTGATCCGCATCACAGAAGAAGTGGTTGATCTGGTTGGGAGTGCAGAAGGAGATGTGTGCAAGAAGGAATGAGGGGAACATAGGGCAGAGAAATCCCATGGACCAGCAAACCCCAGCCAGAGTCCCACAGGTTTGGGGGTTGAGCAGCAGTGGATAGTGAAGTGGACGGCAAATGGCTGCATAGCGGTCAAAGGCCATGGTGGTGAGGATGAAGAGTTCTGTGGCAGCCAAGGAAAAGAAGAAGTAGTATTGAGTGATACAGCTGGGAACTGAGATAACTCCTTTGGGACTTATAAAATTGGCTAGCATCTTAGGCACGGTGACTGTGGTATACCAGAGCTCTACCAGCGAGAGGTTGCTTATGAAAAAGTACATGGGAGTGTGGAGATGTGCATCCAGGGCTACAATGAGCACAATGAGGGCATTTCCCACCAGGGACAAGAGGTAAACCAGGAGGAAGAGGGAAAAGAAGAGCAGCTGGATAAGAGGGGAGTTAGAGAATCTCACGAAGACAAATTCAGTCACAAATGTGCGATTGACTCTCTCCATCCATCCAGGTGAACCAATTGGACATGGAGAACAGAGAGGTTTTTTAGATACCCTCGGTTATTTGGTCACATACATATACATATCCCTATCTCACCATTTTAGAAATACACACACTCTCAGTGTTTTTATTTTTCACTCCATTCCCTGGCTGCGTCTCAGCTTCTCTGAAATAAAGAATACGCTTTCTTTCTTTTCTTTTCAAATAGCATACCAAATATTCAAATTGTATTTCTTTTCTCCTTTAAATAGGTTCTGAAGTACCACATTATTTAGAATTCTTGTGCAATCCATTAGAAGGGAGTTAATGACTCCTACTGGGCTGACCATGTAGCACATTTTATCTCAATGTGTGAAATTGTGAGTCACTTTTTTTCAGCCTCAAAAATAATAATTTAAATTATTCTGATTAATATTATTTAGTATCTGTTGTAGTGTTTTCTCTGGCCCTAAGGACTAGCTTTTGGACTTGTTTATGTTGAGTTGCCATTGAGTCTATTTGGCTCCTGGCAACCCTCTGTGTTCCAGAGTAAAACTGCCCCATAGAGCTTTCTTGGCTGTCACAAATGGAGTAGGTTTGTGTTGGAATTGATTCAGTGGCAACATCAACAATAATTTTAATGGAATATCTCTAGGTCTATCATTTTGGTTCCTCTGGATTAATTTGATCTGGCAATCTTTAGGTTAGTATAGAGCACAAAACATTTGTGTCTCTTATGAATATATTTTTTGACATAGGAAAGGTATACAATCTTAATGTTATTTTCTCTGTCTGTACTGTCTATACCACTCTGAATCAGTGGCTCTGTCTTATACTATCAGCTCCCATAGTGCTAGAGTTGAAATGCATATTTATCTCCCTATGCATGAGTTCCAGTCAGTAGGAGACAGAGACATTTCTCAGACTACTGGATCCTGGGTATCAGAGGTAGAGTAGGAAACATTTTGGCAAATGGAAAAGTCAGGAGAACACAGTTTGGCATGAAAAGGAGAATTTAGGCTGGAATTTCAGGTGGAATATTAGGGATGGATTAGGAAATTTGAAGTTATAATAAATACACTGCTATTTTTGTTGTTGTATACCATCAAATTGGAACTGACCCACAGTTGACCCTCCTGTGAGTTTTCAGAGGCTGGTAACCACACAGGTGGAGATTACCCACCTTTCTCCAGCAAAGCACCCGGTAGATTCGAACCAATTGCCTTTAGGTTGGCAGTACGACTCCTTATAGTTAAGCCACTGGAATTTCCTACACTATAAAGAATGTGTGTTTTAAAACCCAAATTGACCAAAACAAGCCTTAGAGGAAACTCAGATCTTTAGGTTTAAAAATGTAACAGTGGGGCAGATGAAGATCATAGTATTGACATTTTTAGAACATGATACTTGCACAGATTTCCAATTCTTGAAACTTTTTCCTTGGACACGTCTCTAAAAATGGAAAAATTGAAAACATTCATCACTAAGAGTAAGTTTAATATGCCGTACGTTAAAACACATGAAGAATTGTTTTGACACAAAGTGAGAATATTTGATGCAAAACTTTATATTAACTATGACCTGATATATACTCTCAAGAGATCAAATTACCAGTTATGCTTTAAATACAAATGTCTGTAGTTAAAATATTTTATAATAAATATTCTATAATATCATAAGAAAATTGTGTTTTTAAAGTTAAAACATTTGTTTTGATTTCAGGGCATAAATATATTATTAGTTGAGAAAATAAAAAAAAAATCAACAAGTACTAAAAACCAAAATAAGAATTAATGAAAATTCTTTTCTTGTAATGATAAATGATATTTTTGTAGTTTTAGGTTATTCAAATCAATTGCTGTTGTCTTGATTTAGACTTAAAATGACCCTGCTTTGGATTTCCAAGGCTGTAACTTGCATTTGGAGGAGATAGTCTATCTTTCTTCCACGGAGGCTCTGGTAGATTTGAACCACTGAAGAACGATGACCTTTGGATTAATAGCACAACTCGCTATGGATTATGCCACCAGAGCTCTCTTTTATTTTCAGCCTATTTTATTTTTATGTGTGCAATTTTAGAAATGCTTAAAATAAATACTTAAAACCTTAAGAAAAAAATACCTTAATTGTTCATCTTTTCTTTTCCAGTCTTCCATCTCCAATTCTCTTACATCATTACATAAATGCCAAACCACTGAGACACACGGCCTGGTCATGACAATCAGTATCACTTTTACCTCTCATCTGTGACTGCCAGATATAAATTGTTAATGTGAGAAGCAGATTTTCACTGCTGTCTTAAACATACAATGTTGGGTAATGAGGTAGCAGGTAAGTGAGGTTACCAGTGAGTTGACTTTGATTCATAGTGACCCTATCCTGACCCATCCTCACTATCTCTGATGTGTTCAAGCCCATTGTTGCAGTCACTGTGTCAATTCATCTTGTTGATGGTCTTTCTGTCTTTCACTAACTCTCTATCTTTCCAGCATGATATATTTTTTCCAAGGACTAGCCCCTCCTGATAACATGTCTAAATTATATTCATGAAGTGTCACTATCCTTCTCCTTAAAAAGCATCTTTGTTGTACTTATTTTTTTTTCAACTTCTTAGTTGTTGTTAGGTGTTGTTGAGTCAAGTATGACTCATAGCAATCCTATGAAAAACCAATCTGAACACTGTCCTGTCCTGTGCCTTGCTCATAATCTCTTACACATTATTGTTAACCCATGTGGTTAATGGTCTTCCTGCCTTTCAGCATCCCTCCATCTTCCCCAGCAGTATGTCTCTCTCTAAGGAATAACCTCTCCTAGTAGCATGCCCAAAGTATGTGAGATGAAGCTTTATCATCTTTGTCTTCAAGGAGTACTCGGGCTATACCTTCTTCAAGACAAATCTGTTCTTTCTTTTGGCAGTCCATGGAATATTCAGTACTCTTCTCCAACACTAGAGTTCAAAGGCATCAATTCTTCTGTCATTCTTTTTTTTTCTATTTTAATTTATTTTTCATTTCAATGAACATCTACAGAGATTTTGGAATTCCATTCATTCATTGTTGCACCCTTCTCCCCGCCCACTCCACCTCACCCCTCTCCGCCCCCCCCATTTGCTCCTCTCCTTGAAAAGCAAAAGAAAAACTCCCTCATTGGTACACAATCCCCCCCACACCTCCCTCAACCCCACCCCCAACCCCAAATATAATCTACTCTGCAACCCTCATTGCGTACTCCCATGATAAACATAATGCCCTAAAATATAATACTTTCAAACTATTCTCTCCCCCATAGACTTCAATGCCGTAAACATATTTCATCCAGTTTTTCTTCTGTCATTCTTAATCATTGTACCACTCCAGCTCTCAGATGCATAACGATAGACTGAAAAGACTATGGCCTGAATCAGGTGCAGTTGAGTCCTTAAACTGACATCGTTAATAGTCTGGATTTAAGCTAAATTTTCAATATTATGATCCTCCACCTCCTCATCCAGACATGAAGATCTGGTAAATGGCTATATGAACTCTTCCTAGTTTTTATGTCATATCTCCATATCTTTGCAAACACTGTACTATCTCCTACCTAAAAACTCCTATATATTCATCAAGACTTGGTTGAATTCACCTCATCTGTGAAGCCTTTCTCTGCTTCTTGACAATTATATCCTTTGTCCTTGGTTCTTTTAGGGCCATATTATTTGTTATATGTTTATGACCTTTATAACAATATTTTACAATGTATTAGTTTATGTCGATGTTTCTGCTACTAGCTTTGAGTTATTTGAAGGGAGCTGTGGGAATATTCATGACTATATTTACCAAGGGCCATGTTAAAAGTCTTCAGGTAGCTCTGTTGGCACAGTAGTAAGGGCTGTGCTGTAATCCCAAAGGCATGGTGTTCAAATCTACCAGCTGGTCTGCAGGAAAAGGATGGACACACTCCTTCCATGCCATTAACTGCCTCTGAAAACCCACTGGAGGGTTAGCTATGAGTCAATTCTGACTTGACAACAAACAATAACGACAACATGTTAAAAGTCTAGAGTACTTCCTGGAGTAGATGAAAACCAAAATCAAGACAAAGCAACCCAGAGAAGCAAAAAAGAAACCAAATAATGCTAGTTGCTGTTGAGATCATTCTGACTCATGATGATCCCATGTGTTGCAGAATGGTACTTCTCAACAAGATTTTCAAGACTTTTGAAAGGAGATCACTAAGTACACACTAGATCTTCTAAGACACCTCTGGATGAGGTTGGACCATTGACTTCTCTGCTAGCAGTTGAGAATTTAAACACTTGCATCACAAATACTTGTACAAAGAATATAGAGCAGTAAAACTCAAGTATTGAATGAAGGAATTGAAATGTCGTTGAAACTAGTTCCCAGTTTTTATTCAGTTTCTATCCCTTACAAAATGCCCAAAAATAACAGATTTGAGGCACTGAATGCTAATGATCAAAGACTAGATGAGTTATGAGTTGATGTCAAGTATATCACCCATGAAGAGATCAAAAGTTCGTTACACAGAAAGAAGAGAAAGAGAATATTTATGTCATGAAAAATTCTGAAAATGGCACCAGATTATTGAGAAACCAAAACAAAGGGAAAAGATACAGAAGTAAAAGAGTTAAAAGAAGATTTCAAAGGGCAACTTGAGAAGAAAAAAAGCAAAGAGCTGGAGATGGGGAATAAAAAAAGAAGAACTCACTTGGTATTTATCACACTGAAAGAACTGAAACAAACCTAAATCTCAAGTTGCAATATTGATAGGTTCTATGTGCAAAAGAGACAGAAAGTGAGGTGGAGCTCCCCAATTAAAACAAGCTTGGAAGGAGGAGTGGCATCCACTTCCATAATAGCTTGCCTCAGGAAACCCTATGAACCTGAAGAGAGGGTGACAGACACCCCAGCGTTGAGGACTCTCCTTCATAAGGTCACTACGAGTTGCCTGCGACTCGATGGCACTTAACAACAACAACATGCGCAAAAGAATAAATAATCTAAAAAGCATGAAAAGAAGATGG